GCTTAGTGTATTAGTGTGTTAATTGTCTTTTAAATGGCTGTATGGTGTTGCATTGAATTTTTGCCGCTTCTTATTGTTAACCGCTCTGAGTCGCCTAATTGGCTGAGAAGAGCGGTATACAAATAAAGTAAGTAAATAAATAAATAAATTAGCATGGAGGTATTGTTGTTGTATTCAGGCACTGAATGTTTGCCTTTTATGTTTGGAATCCGCCCTGAGTCCCTTTGAGGAGACAGAGAAGAATAGAAATAAAGTTTTATTATTATATTATATAGATTCGGCCTCCATTCTGCCTTTTCAAAATCCACAGCACTGTTGGCCACATCTGACTTCCAGTCAGACGCTCAAGAGCCAGGGCTTCCCAGTTCTCCGTCTGTGTTTATACCAAGCCTTTAAGGTTATCTTTAAGCCCATTTTTTCAATCTCTTTTTTGTCCACCAACATTATTGGAAACATGCCTCGTTAAAAGATATTTCTACCCCAGACGCCAGGATTAAATCATGAAAATTTGAAGGGTGTTGCTGTTAAAAGCTGAAGATGGAATTGTGGTTTCACAAGGTTTTAGCCTTCTCTATTTATTTATGATGTCATCCGCCACCAGAACATTGTATTACATTTCTAACAGAACAAAACAAACAAACAGATAAAAAAAACACAGAGTTTGCAAGCTTGGTAGCTGATTAAATGTCCTTTGACCAGTCTCTGGCCCCTTGGAGTGCTGCCTCTGGTGTTGCCGCAAGGAGGTCCTCCCTCGTGCATCATGTAGCAGGGCTCAGGGTGCATTGCAGCAGGTGGTCAGGGGTTGGCTCTTCTCCACACTCGCATGTCGTGGATTCCATTTTGTGGCCCCATTTCTGGAGGTTGGCTCTGCATCTCGTGGGGCCAGAGCGCAGTCCGTTCAGCGCCTTCCAAGTCACCCAGTCTTCTGTGTGCCCAAGAGGGAAGTTTCTCATTTGGTATCAGTCACTGATTGAGGTTCTGGGTTTTAACCTGCCACTTTTGGACTCTCGCTTACTGGGATGTTCCTGCGAGTATCGCTGTAGATCTTAGGAAACTATTTCTTGATTTAAGTGTTGACGTGCTGGCTGATACCCAAACAAAGGATGAGCTGGAGATGTCTCTGCCTTGGTCCTTTCACTATTGGCTGCTACTTCCCGGCGGATGTCAGGTGGTGCAATACCGGCTAAACAGTGTAGTTTCTCCAGTGGTGTAGGGCGCAGACACCCCGTGATAATGCGGCATGTCTCATTAAGAGCCACATCCACTGTTTTAGCATGGTGAGATGTGTTCCACACTGGGCATGCGTACTCAGCAGCAGAGTAGCACAGCGCAAGGGCAGATGTCTTCACTGTATCTGGTTGTGATCCCCAGGTTGTGCCAGTCAGCTTTCGTATGATATTGTTTCTAGCACCCACTTTTTGTTTGATGTTCAGGCAGTGTTTCTTGTAGGTCAGAGAACGGTCCAGAGTGACTCCCAGGTATTTGGGTGCGCTGCAATGCTCCAGTGGGATTCCTTCCCAGGTGATCTTCAGAGCCTTCTCTGAAACACAACTCCTAGCCGTTCCAGAGTATGGTGAGGAGTCAGTTTGCATTCATTCCTCAGTGAAGATGGGCCTCAGGTCAGGGCAGCGTTTCAGAAGCAGAGAACATTTGGGACCTTTGAGAGACCACTTAAAGCCTCCAGAAGAGAAGGAGGCTGAGAGGAGACAGGAGGAGGGCCAGGGATCAAGATTTGAGGAGGGGGGAAGTCCTAGGGAGGAGGGGCCAGGCTCCCTTTCTGCTGCCCTGGAGAGCAGGACGCAAAGGAGCCGTGGCTTCAAACGACAGGAAAGGAAGGAGATTCTGTCAGGGTGAGACAGAAGCTTTGAAGCTTAGAAGAATGGACACTTTGAGACTTCAGTAAAAGCAAACATTTAGCTTTACTGAGTAGAGCAAATATACAGCACACATTCTCATTTACATCCAACCAAACAGAACAGGAACAAGACAAAAGACATACCAAAATTATACAGGATAAAATACAAAATATATAATACTGATACTGTACTATGCTAATAATATATAATATATTGTATGTATATATAAGAGCCCAGTGGGTTAAAGCACTGAGCTGCTGAGCTTGTTGATCGAAAGGTCGCAGGTTCGATTCCGGGGAGCGGTGTGAGCTTCCGCTGTCAGCCCTAGCTTCTGCCAACCTAGCAGTTCGAAAACATGCAAATGTGAGTAGATCAATAGGTACTGCTCCGGCGGGAAGGTAACGGCGCTCCATGCAGTCATGCTGGCCACCTGACCTTGGAGGTGTCTACGGACAACGCTGGCTCTTCGGCTTAGAAATGGAGATGAGCACCACACCCCAGAGTCAGACATGACTGGACTTAATGTCAGGAGACTACCTTTATCTTTACCTTTACCTTTATGTATATATACCTTGTAAGCCGCTCTGAGTCCCCTTCGGGCTGAGAAGGGCGACATAGAAATGTCGTAAATAAATTAAATTAAATTAAATTAAAATTGCAGAGTGAAGGGAGAGGGGACCAGGAAGACACTTCCACCTTGTCTCCTGTGCTATGGTAATAATATAATATAAATATTGTATAT